ACTAACTAATACTTAATTTTTTAAATTTTAACCTTGCAGGCATTGTTTCTTGAAGAAATCTTCTTGCATGATTCTTTTTACCACTACACGTTTACAAAAAAGCCACAAATTTCTGATTTTCCTGTGGTTGTGCCACATAACATTGGCCAACAAGATGCTGATTTGTAACCCACATTCAATACTTTAATTTTTATTACATCATTTCCCTTTTTCTTTACCACTATACAACAAAATCTAAACATTCAATTTTGTTTAATTTGTAGAAATGATTGTGGCGTTTGAGTCGCCAAATGGATGTTGGATTGTGGTTGGTCTGATGATTACAAAATCAAATTAATTATTTTTTTATTTACTATTATTTTTAAAATTCAACCTATGTACAACAATGCTTATATTAATTGCTTTACATTTGTATATTAAGTGGACAACGGAACAAGAATGCAATTGGCATTGTCTTTGGTTCTCCACTGTTACAACACCAACAAAGATGAGGTTATCAAACTAACTGCTACAAATTGGAAAAATTTGCAAGAAAACATAAATAAACTTATTATTTCCTAACTTTTGTATCAACTCTTTATGTTGTCCCTTTTTTTTGGATTTTTTGTTTGGTTTTGTAATCTTGTTCATTTGGGACAACCATTGCACCCTACCTACACAATGTTGTTGATATTTTGTTTTCCTTTTGTAAAACCATTTTTTTGTTGCACTCGTCTGGGGACTTTATGTGTGCAACTTATGGACAACCTTATCAACCTACAACCATGTACCTTATTATTAACTTCGTTTAAATCAATTTGAACTAGTCATTTCTGTTTACCAAATCAATTGTGTATTATTGTAGCCATGTAAGTTGTAACTAATTTCCTTCAAGGTACGTTTTATGGTGGACATATGTATTATATGGTTCATCAGCGAAGCAACATATAAAAATGTGATTGTAAAGGGGTCCATGGGTCAAACATGATTAATATCATTACATATATTCAAAAAAAATTAACAGTCTTCATTAATTTTTTAATATTTTAATAAAAGTGTATACTGCATCAGGAAATGTATACTTTAACCCTAAATGTTATATTGTATTGTCCTAGTCTATCATTTGTTCCATTACATGAGATGAAATTAGCTTCAATCAGGATTTGAATCCAACTTTTTTAGTTTTGTTTAAAATTGTGAACTAAAAAACTATTACATACAATCAATAAATAAATGTCAAACTTTTTTTATACATATAATTAATATCAAAATTAATTCATAATAATCTACTAATTATACTTATTTTATTTATTACTAAAAAAAGATATTACTCTAAATTAAAATATTATATCTAATACCAATATAATTTATAAATAATATTTGAAGTACTAAAAAAGTGAGACACAACTTATCTACACTAAATTCACAGGTCAACCAATAATAGTTAACAAAAACTTCACGGATGGACAACATGATAAAGTTGTCCAAGGTAGCAATCACCTTCCTTTAAACCAATTTTAACTAGTCATTCATGTTTAGAAGATCAATTATGTATTATCGTAAGCTTCTTCAATTGAAAATTTGCATTCACTAAATTAAATTAATTCAAATTACCCAATTGACTTTTTAAAAAATGTCAAACTAACAATCACAAATTAAATATTCATCATTACATTCTAAATTTCACTCTTGCATTATTCACATTCACATATGAACCCAATAACCTTCCAACAAACCATCATTTTTTCCTACGTATTTTCAAACTAATTTACCATGCACTTCGAATTCAAAATAACATAAACGTACATTTCATTTAATACTAAATCAAATATCAAAATAACATAAACGTACATTATATTTAATAGTAAATCAAACTAATCACAATATTTATAAATTTATTAAAATTAAAAAAAAAATATAATTTCCGACGGATTTTTCCGTCAGAAAATTTGACAACAATTTTGGACGGATTTTTTTTTCCGACGCCACTTTTTCTGACGGATTGAAATCCGTCGGAAAAAGCAAAATCCGTCGGAAATTTACCTATTTCCGTCGGAAATCAGCATTTTTCTTGTAGTGTATCCTATGCCCATTGCTGAGACAATGATAGATGCCGCTGCAGGTAATGAAATTGTGAGCTTACTTGATGGTTATTCTGGATATAACCAAATTTATATTACAGCTAATGATGTATCGAAAATTTCTTTTAGATGTCTAGGAGCTTTGGCCGTGTACGAATGGGTGATGATTCCATTTGGATTAAAGAATGCAGGTGCCACATATCAAAGGGCAATGAATTTAATATTCCATGATTTAATTGGTAAGTTTGTGCAAATGTATATTGATGATATAATTGTTGGGTCAAAACGAAAAGAGGAACACTTATGCCATCTAAAATTATCTTTCGAGAGAATGAAGAAACATGGTCTAAAAATGAATCCACTAAAATGTGCTTTTGGTGTTACAGCAGGAGAGTTTTTGGGATTTATCATACACCAAAAGGGGATCGAAGTGGATAGGAACAAGACTAAGGCTATCATGGAAACTAGACCTCCATCGAACAAGAAAGAACTTCAATCTCTCTTAGGTAAAGTAAATTTTCTTAGAAGATTCATATTGAATTTATCTGGCAAAACTAAAGTTTTTTCTCCATTATTGCGTTTGAAAAAAGAGGAGGAATTTAGATGGGAAGAAGAGCACCAAAAAGCATTCGAGGAAATCAAAACTTATTTAGCTCATCCTCCAGTAATTGCACCACCCTCTAAAGGAAGACAATTGAAGTTGTATATTTCAACTAACGATTCGACTATTGCGGGCATGCTGGTGCAAGAGGATGATAATGGCATCGAAAGAGTCATTTATTATCTAACTAGAACGTTAGTGGGAGCTGAGAATAAATATACTCCTTTAGAGAAATTGTGTTTAAGTCTTTATTTTGCTTGTACAAAGTTGAAGTACTATCCTAGACCCTTTGATGTTTTAGTATTTTGTCGAAGTAATGTTATTAAGTACATGTTGTGTAAACTTGTCTTACATTCTCGAATTGGCAAATGGGCACTTGCCTTAACTAAATATTCATTAATTTTTGTACCTTTAAAATCCACAAAGGGACAAGTAATTGCGGATTTTCTCGTGGATCATTCGAAAATGACTGAAGAAATCAATTACTTAACAACCAAACCTTGGGAGTTATTTTTCGATGGCTCGAAACATGAGTTAGGAACTGGGATAGGTTTGTTAATCATTTCCCTTGAAGGAATTCCAACCAAATTGTCATTAAAAACAAACAAAGGATACTCGAATAATGAAACTGAATATCAAGCGCTCATTACCGGACTCGAGATCCTCAAAGAGTTAGGTGCTAGGAATGTAGTAGTTCGAGGAGACTCGCAACTCGTCATTAAGCAATTAACGCAAAAGTACAAATGCTCAAATGAAAAACTGGTCGAATGCAAGAGTCGAGCCATGAAGTTACTAAACACGTTCGATGAAGTTGAGTTACAACATATTTCTCGAAATACGAACACAATTGCAAATGAATTAGGTCAACTCACATTAGGGTATAAAATGAGTAATAAGGATGTCTCGAATCTTTGATTCATACGGAGAATGAACTAATATGTAATTTGGAAAGCCTAAGTGTTAGTACATCGAGCCATCAAGACTGGAGGAAAGAATTGGTCGAGTACCTTCAAAATCTGAATTTGAAAGTCAAAAGAAAAATCAAACTCCAAGCCCTTAATTATGTCATGCTAAATAACGAATTATACAAAAGGGGTTTCGATGGGATTCTATTTAAATGCCTTGGGAATCATGAAAGTTATATAGCTATGGCAGAAGTACATGAAGGTATCTGTGGGGCACACCAAGCAGGTGAGAAAATGAAGTGGACCTTGTCGAGAAAAGGGTACTATTGGCCAACCATATTTAAGGACTGTATCGAATTCGCAAGAAGTTGCGAAGAATGTCAAAAACATGGACCAATACAAAGGGTACCAACAAGTGAATTACATTCGATTATTAAACCTTGGCCATTGCGAGGATGGGCAATATTGACATTATAGGGCAGATTCATCCACCTTCCTCGAAAATTCACAAGTACATATTAGTTACCATTGATTATTTTACAAAATGAGTTGAGGCAATTCCTTTGAAGGAAGTCGAGCAAAAAGACATAATTGATTTTGTTGAAGATCATATCATAACGAGATTTGGGATTCCTCAAACAATTACTATTGATCAAGGCACAGTTTTTACAGGTCGAAAAGTTACTCAATATGCTCAATCGAGAGGGATTATGTTAGTAACTTCAACACTGTACTATGCACAAGCAAATGGACAAGTCGAGACTGCTAATAAATTAATTATTGGTCTGATCAAGAAACACATTTCGAGCAAGCCACGCATTTGGCATGAAACACTTGTTCAAGTGTTATGGGCTTATAGAAATTCACCAAGAGACGCCACAAAAACTACCCCATATAATTTGGTGTACGGTCATGAGACTATTCTTCCTATAGATAGTAATTTACAATCAATTCACCTACAAAAACAGAATGATTTGCCTATCGAAGATTATTGGAATCTAATGTATGATGAGTTGGTATCTTTAGAGGAAGAAAGGTTCATAGCATTGCAAAATCTTATTCAACAAAAGGAAAGAGTCAAGAAAACATATAATAAGAGAGTCAAAGCGCGCAGTTTTCAAGTTGGAGACTTAGTGTTGAAAGTAATTCTTCCCATGGATCAAAAATCTCGACACCTAGGCAAGTGGTCTTATAATTGGGAAGGACCCTTGATAATCGATCAAGTATACTCGAAGAATGCATACGTGATTAAAGAAATAAATTCGAATGCAACAAGTAAAGTGATTAATGGGAAATACTAAAAATGCTTTCATAAAAGATCAGAGTATTGATTGAAACATACATCCAAAATAAACCTAAAGAAATTGAAATCGATGTTCTCAAATTAATCAATATTACAAAACTTGATTTAAAACTTCTATAAGCATGATAAGCTTCATCCAAGCTTTGCCTTCGAGAAGCACACTGAGTCTCCAGGTGTTTCTTCTGCTCCAAGGTCTTCGCAAGTCTCGAAGATATCACCTTGCCTTCATCCTTGAGACTTTTTTGACGCTGAATAACCACTTGACTTTGAGCTTTTAAAGCAACTTGTTTCGAACGGAGGTTATTCAGCTCAAGTTGTAAATCCTCAATAGACTTCTCGACATCCACTTCCTCCTGTTGCAATTTCTTCAAAGCAGGAATCATCTCCTCAATAGATTTCCTGATGGAGAGCAACTCTTGTCGAAGATTTTCGAGTTTGGCACGATCACCCTCACTCTCAACTTCAATATGAGCCACCTCTTGATATGCGTTAGACCATTTGGACCAGAGATCCTAAGTAAGAGTGAAGGGTTTGATAAATTCTTGGAGTTCGAGGTGAATTGCAGGAGGAAGGTCTGGGTAGGCTAGCAAATCATCTACCATCTGCTCAACTTCGATTTTGAATTCTGGAATGATGAATGCTGGATTGAGGTCATCCACATAGGCCTTTAACCGGAAAGATTCGAGCAGAGGTTGAAATGTAGTAGTCGACTCAAAAACAGGTTCGGGAATCTTCTCCAAGACAGAAGGACCAGTTGTCCAATTTTCTAGAACGTCAAAAATATTGTCGACCTCATCATCTTCATTGAAAAAACTGATTAAGTCCAAATCTGTAGAGGGGATCGAAGAAAGTGGTGGCACTGAAGATTCAACACCGCCTTGGGTCAAAGGAGAAGGAGTAAAAGGTTTTGGAGAATCAGTTGAGTCTGCATAGAGAAAAGAAAGTAAGAAAGACATAGTTTTTTTACAACAATTGATAGAAATTAATAAAAAAAGAAATATACCACGATTTGGACTAATGGGAGGCTTAAGCTCGAAAGAAAGAGCTTCATCTTGTGAGGACTGGTGAGGAGTTTCCGTGTTCACCAGAGGCTCCAACAAGGGAACCTTGCCTTCATTACTTTGGGGAGGAATGTCCGTCGAGGCCATCTCGACGATGTTCAATTGAGGAGTAGCCAACTACAAAATGATGAAGTTAAAAACAAGGAAGAAGTATAGAAAAGTAAAGATCAGTGAAAGTCGAACCTGTTGTGATTCCCTAGTAGAAGGAGGATTATCCTTAGACATTTCTCGAGAAGAGTCGAGTTGGATTATCTCAACATCCTGTAATTAAAGAAAAATCTTAGAGAAATCGAAGAAATATGGAAGTTGGAAGTCGAGTTAAAAGCTAAATACCTTAGGAATAGATTTCATAACATCCTTAAGGAGTTTCTCGACAGGTGGCTTCTGAGTTTTCTTGGGAAGAGGAATCTATAGTTTCCCCTTTCCTTTATCCATCTTTTTTGTGGTCGAAATATGAAGAAGCAAGAAAAGTGAGAAAAGAGAAAATATAAAAGGACAAATATGAATCACTCACAGTCTTGGCACTTGTCGAGTCTGCTTTTTGCTTCTTCGAGGTCTCGAGGCTCTGGAAATAGAAAAAGACTTAGAAACGGTAATATTATTAAGTTAATCTAATCGAAAGATTAATTTGAAAAGAAAAGAGTTGTACCTTAGAACGTAAGGAAACTTTGTCAGAAGCGGTCTTTCTTTTTCGAGTCTTCAATGAAGACCCCTTGTCATCATCATCATCACTTTCCCAGTTGGGAGTTTCTTCAGCATGTTGAGGAACACGCTGAGGGATAGCAGCTACACAATACAAAGAAAGGATGAGATAAATACAAGAGGTAATTGCATGATATTTTTTGTTAAAGACAATTACCAGGAGGGGGATTGCGATTATCGACCCAACACAATGGCCACCATCTCCTTTGAGGAAAATCGTACACGGAACATCTCGCATAAGTAACTCGATCCTTTACAGGAATTTCTTTGCGCTCAAGGTAAAATGGGTCAAGTGTCTTCACCTAGGGAGGGCGAGATAAATGTTTAACCAAACCAAAACGAGCACTTGGAAGACAAGGAATATTTTTAGGGCAAAATTTTTCGAAATCAGTTTTTCCTCGAGGATTAATAACCTTTTTCGATCGGATGTTCATTTGTACCATTTTTGATAAAGAGACAGACGCATTAAAGATGGTTCGACCAATGTTGTCAGGTTGATAACAAACTTTAAAAAATTGCTCGAATTGATAAATAATAGTTTGGCTCTTGTAAGTACCTGATAATTTCGGGCCCTGCGAAGAAAGAGGAGAATTAATCAGCTTCTTCAAAAAATCATCACAGGTGAGAATTTTATCAACATAGTATTCACACCACCATCGAAGAAAACACTTCAAAACTAAGAAGGAAGGAGAAAAAGTGTAGGGTGTGAGCCTAAGTTCTTTTTCAGGGCGTAAAATGAAATCCAAAACTTACTGATAATTCCATTTTTCGGCACAAATATCAGTGTCGATGTTTTCTTTACGTCGAAGAGGAAGAGGCTTCATTTGGAAAAGACCAAATTGTCGGAAAAATAACTGAGGTTGGTAAGGGTAAATCCTAACATCCTTCTGTCACATTCCAGATATTATCACATCCCAAGAAAGGAAGCCAAACCACATCTCAGTAGAATCTGAAGAAATATTTCCAACTTGGTTGTTCTGTCGAAGCCAAGGTGGCCCTATCAAAGTAGAACGTATGAAAGGGTCTAAGTCCTCACTGAACTCATGAAAACTAAGAATTGCACCAACGTATTTTGCGAAGTTGTCGATTGAATGCTTTCGAGGAGTAAGCGTGGTCAAACGTGCTCCTTCGAGTTCACATATTGGAGCATAAGATGAAGCAAGTGAAAGCTTTTTCTCTAGAATGGAATTGAGCCATAACTGTAGCAGCCACAACGGTCCAGAGAGATTGTGAGGACCAGATTCATAGGAAAGGCTCTTCGAGGCTTCATCGAGGCAAGTATACAGAGAGGCCAACAAAATTTTACTCAAGCAGATTCTTTTTTTAGATGCAGATCTTGAGCCAAAATATAATAGTATTTAGGGACTTGGAGAGAGGGAGTGCAGAAAACACAAGCAGATAACCAATACATCAAGAAAGCAATATGTTCTGAGGTCGAAACAGGAGTATCTGGTTTTCCCATATAAGCATTGATAAAAGCCAAATAAGTTTTTTATCCCAAGATATAGAGGTCTCCTTAATCGAAATCTCCTCCTCGAAAGCATCTGGATAGAACCTATCCCCAATAGGTGCCAAGCCAGTAATGGCAGCAATATCTAGCAAGGTAGGACACACGAAACCACAGGGAAACTTGAAAGCCCGTGTTTCTCTATTCCAGAAGAATATCGCAGAAAGAAGCATTTGGGGATCGAAAAGGTGTTAGTCAAACTTAGCGAGTTGAATAAACTCAAAAATACCAGTTTCTACCCACATGGAATGCATTGAATTTTCTACGCGTGTTAACCATGGTAAATGCCTATCTTTGGTGGGGGGAAATGCCCTAAAAATCTTAGTTGTATCTCCAAACAAGGCTAGGTCTATTTCAGCGGAATGAATAAAAGGAAAGGTGGAAGAGTCCTTAGGCAACAAGGTATTACCAAACTTTTTCTTATTTTGACCCACAAACAGACCTAAGAAAGCATGAACAGTGCCATCCTCAAGGGAGAAAGGGCGAAGTACCTGGGATTGGAAAATCTTGAGACTTGCCTCTTCCATGCCTAGAATAGGGACGAAGGTCTCATCTCCATCTTTCACGGTGCAAGCCGTGGCATTGGCCATCAGCAGAGGAGCAGTTTGGGTGGATGAGGCCGAAGCTTTGGTGGGAGAAAGAGCGGAGGCAGTTGCAGAAGTTGATGCAGCAGAAGAAACCATGATAATCAAAGGCAAGAACTTTTGAAGGCAAGAGCAGAAGAAAAGAATGCACGGCCGGAGAAGAAGATCAAGAAACAACAAGAAGCAGAGCGAGAGGCCAGAGAATGCAATGAGCAAGAAGACTTGTGCACGAAGGAAGTGGTGAAAGTGATTTTCACCTTAGGGTAAAAAGAGTTTTAAACGAATAGATGGGCCTGAGGTAAAACGGGTCCATAAATTAATTCAAATTTTAATTCAAATATTAAAAAATAGCTGCCAAAACGTTTTTGCACAGACAGACTTGTGGGAAAACGTAAGCATGCGCCGTCAGAGCAATCAATGTCAAATCAAACGGTAATCGCATTAAATAGGTGGTCAGAAGTAGGTTTTCATCAAAGGAATACAAGTCACTAATTATCATCAAATGAGGAAATTCGAGAGAGAATCGAGGAAATTTTTTGATAGGAATTCAGTTCTCTTTCACCCAATATGTTCATCGAAACTAAATTCCTAGGGGGGCGTTTGTTGGGGCTAATCGAAAGCTATATCACTCAAAAACTACACCTTTGAAGCTACTCGAAAGCTACACCTTTGAAGCTACTCGAAAGAAAGACAAATAAATAGGTACCTACCAAGAAATTATTAGAAGCCTTAAATGTACAAACTCGAGAATTGGTCAAAAAATGTAAGAGATGGAAGGTTCTATGAGTAGTTAAGCAGTTACACTAAGGTAGTTACCAAGACTTGGTCGAAGAAACAAAGAACGTGGAGGAGACAGTTATGAGAAGTTACATGGATTCCACGAAATCAGCGTAGTGTCAGTGGTTACATACGCACGACTCATCGATATAAGATTAACCGCTCTCAAGTAAAATCTATAAATGTGGGAATCATACCCCTTAAACATGGTCAGAAAAATCATACTTGAAATCTCAAGCACTCACCGCCTGCGCATATGGCTTCCGTGCATGGAATTGTTGGGTATGACCATTTCTTGGCCACATTTCTTTTCTTTTTCTAGGATTAGTGTTGTTCTTTTAATTCCGTAGTTCGTAGGTTGTTTGATTCTAAAATTGTAACTTGATCATTATGCAAACTAGACAATGATTTGTATTGCCAATGTATTTTTTGTTCATTATGTTCAATTAAGTATCTACATGCATGCAAATTATTGTTTGATCATCATTCATGAAAATCTGGAAACAAACGTTTATTAATCAGCTTTGTCTCATCTATTTTCGTTCTTAAGCAAGTTTAACAACTTTACTGTTAAAGACCTAAATTGAAACGGTTTCGTGCTAGTTCAAATGCAAAGAACTCATAAAAAGAATTCCACCATAAACAGTCTCTCAAATAAAAAGTGAAATGACAAGGAAGTGATGAAAAGGAACAAAATAATTGAAAATGCATCAATATCTTGTAGTTGTTTTTTAATCTTGCTAGCTTATGGTTTAATATAGAATATTAATCAAGAAATCTTTTCAATTGATTCAACGATGTGTATATAGATAATTAATCAATAAATATTTTTAATTGATTCAACAAAGTGTGTATATAGAATATTAATCAAGAAATCTTTTCAATTAATTCAAAAAAGTGTGTTGTAAATTCTCTTGATGTAAAGTTTGAAAAACCCCAATTTTCACAGATTATATGAAGGCTCAAAGTTCAATAAGGGTGATTTAGTAGCCCAGAACGGGCCATTCCCAAACTGGAACGAGTCGTTTCAAACTACTAAAAAGGCCTATAACCTTAGTTGGGAACAGGTCGTTCTGGTTAAAGGATGGGTCGTTCCAAACATGATTGTTATGGGTTAAAATGCAATATGGTTTAAGAACGGGCCGTTTTGGATGTGAATTTTACACATGACGAATGAGTCTAGAACGAGCCATTTCGGATCCGGAACAGGCCGTTCTGGCTACTCTTGATGTCTATAAATAGCACACTTTGGCATTCCCAAAATCACATTTTTCACTTTTGACTTCTTTTCCTTCTACACTCTCTGAAGACCGAGGGGAACCTAGAAGAAGAGACCAACCAGATCTTGCTTTAGTTTCAGCTACTGCTTATCGAGGTACGGGGGAAAAGGGAATTATTTGTATGAAAAGTTACATGAAGGAATTGGGTAAAGGAGGAATTCCGTAGGATTATGGGTAATTTTATAATTATTTATTTTTAAGGAATCGATGATCCCATTATATTTTTCATGTATTGAGAATTAGGAATATGCAAATAATTTGTAAAAATGATGATCTGGGAGAGAGAACGAAATTGTAGAAAAGTGTCTGTGAGTTAGATTTTGGAAAATTTGGGAGTTTTACTATTTGAGTTAAGATTCTATTAAATTGGTGATTCAATCGGGTTTTATATTAATTTATAAATGTTATTGTTATATTATTTGGTAAAAAATTGATGATCTAGATATAGATTCATGGTGAATTGCTTGAGGGGTATGTGAACCACTATTTTGTGTGGACTAT